GGCCTTTCCAAAGATGCAGCCGAATTGCTAGGGTCAAGACTAAAAAATAAAAACTTGCTCTCACCTGGAACATCATTCTCGTGGTACAGGCACCGAGAGTAGGAATTCACTCAGTTTTTCTCCGAAGAGGGAAATGGGAGAAAAAGAAAAAGAAGCATGGGACTCCTTCAAAGACGTAGTGCACAAGTTTTTGGGGAACACTAAAAGACCTTCTCTACAAAACCAATGTACAACGCATGTTGGCTGCATATAAAGCTCAAGGCTGCAAGATGAGCTTAAAAGTTAATTTCTTACACTCCCATGTCGACTATTTTCCCGAAAACTTGGGAGCCTATAGTGAAGAGCAGGGTGAACAATTTCATCAGGCTGTCCGTGATATCGAAAGACGCTACCAAGGAAGATGGAATGCGAATATGCTAGCTGACTACTGCTGGATGATCAAGCCGGAAATGGAAAATGGAAAGCGAAAGCGTGTTCGGAGAAGCATCAGAGAGAAGAAGAAAAGGTTTCACAGGCAAAAAGACTGAACACAGAATGTTAAATATATCGTGAAGGAATTTCTTGTTTAATTATGAGAAATAATATGTTTAGTTCAATGTAATAAAATTAGTGATTTTTTTCATCGGTTATGATTTTTTATTGTAAACCCCTATTATTTACCAAATAAACTGTACGTGATAGGGGGAAACTGGGGTCATTTTTGGATTCAGCATCCTAGAAAACATACAGTTTACCAAAAATATTCCATGTAGCTGGAAAAAAAAATTATTTTTGCAGACCTGTGAAATTTATGACTAAATCAAAAACACTGTGACAGCAGTTTTAATGTCTGAAACCATAAGATACTAATCTAACTCCACAGTCCTTCATAAGAAGAAGACATTTGCTAAGCTAGCCAACTAATTCCTTCTCCTTTATGGCAATGCAAAGAGTTATTGCTGTGTTCACAAGAACGGCCGCTGAATCCCTTCCTGAATCGGTTTTAATCCAGCCCACACTCTCATACCCCAATTCCCTAACATCCTTATTCCTCCATTTAAGTCTAGTCTTCCAGGCAGTTTTGTGATTTTAGATTTTCTGACATTTTTTATGTATATCTCATCTCTTCCATGTGGGCCATATGCTCTACATGCCTTCTTAATTTGCACTCTAATGTCATTTGTTCAGTTTCCTGTTACTTCAACTTTCATGTCTGAACATTCTCCTCAGCACCCTGTTTGGGAACACCCTCAATCTCCGTCTATATTCTTTCTTTAGTAAAAGAGGCCATGATTCATACCCACATTAAACAGGATCAACTTAGTTTTGTAACGTAAGACTATCCTTCTGAAATAAATGTTTACTGAAAACTGACAAGATAAGGAAATATCATTACTTACTTACTCATGGAGCTGAGCCCTTCTTGAAGAGCTGCCAATTCTGCAGCTACTCAAGAATTTCCCAGCATTTAATGGAACCCGAAGGTTCATCACCGTGTTCACAAGAGCCCTCCACTGGTCCCTATCCTGAGCCAGATCTATCCAATCCATCCCATCCCATCCTATCTCTCTAAGATCCATTCTAATATTGTCCACCCACCTATGCCTTGGTCTTCCCTGTGGTTTCTTTCCTTCTGGCTTTCCCACCAATATCCTATACGCATTCCTCGTCTCCCCCATTCGTGCTACATGCCCTGCCCACCTCATCCTCCTTGACTTAATCATTCTAATTATACTTGGAGAAGAGTACAAGTTATGAAGCCCCTCATTATGCAGTATTCTCCAACCTCCTGTGACTTCATCTCTCTTCGGTCCAAATATTCTCAACACCCTGTTCTCAGACACCCTCAGTCTATGTTCCTCCCCTAATAATGACCAAGTTTCACACCCATACAAAGGAAATATCATTACACAAGTTAATGAAGGGTGGATACGTAAATAATACAAAATTATTTTCAGCATATGCACACACATATTGAATCACAAACTCACACAAACGTTACCAACAATAATTTTATGGATCACATGTTCTGTAGCTGCAGAAATCAGTGTTATAGTGGGTTAAGGTTGCCTTCACATCCCCCCACTTAACCTGCCGCATCTACAAAAACAGGACACAGAATTGGAAAAGTGCCATAAAGGAGACTGGTGGAGATATGTAATGAAAAGAGGTCTCAGAAGTATCTGACATACACACACATTCAATACATTCGACATGTAATGAAAATTAAAGAAATGCGTACAGGCAATGCAAACCAAATATGTACCATTACACTACCATGGAAAATATAATGTGCATTCCTTGTCACAATGGCATGATGCTCCTTGCTTTGCAGAATTGGGAGATGGCCCATAAATACAAATAGATTGAATAAGCAATTATAGACAGCCAGAAAGGGGTGGCCCTTCAGCTTGGTGGTTGATTGCGGTGGGTGGGTGGGG